AACCAACTGCCACACGCGCGCCGCGCCCTCCCGATCGGAGCGGAGCTTGGGAAATATGTTTAATTTTTTATTAAACGAAATTGGACTTGTGTGATGGGATTTTAATTTTATTTTTGTTGGGCTTATTAAGATGGCCGGATTGGACCTGTTTGCTGGGTTTCATAATGGATTAAAACAGGTTTGGTATTTAATTTAAATTAAAACCATAAAACAGTTTTTTTTTTATGAACCAATGATTGCACCTTTTTGCAAAATAAACCACCTACAGTTTTTCCAAAACCATTGTGAACCAATGGTTACACCCATTCGGAAAAAGCACCATCTAGCCTATAAATACCCCTCCTTGGGTTCATTCCAAAACACACCAAAATTCAAAGAATTCTTCTCTTCTTCTGAATTTACTTCTTCCTCCTTCTCTCTTTAGTCTATGGGTTCGAGCCTTAGTACTTGGGTTCGAGCCTTAGTCACTTCGAGACCGAGTTCGATAGTACTACATCGAGCCGGTTCGCCTATTCCTTTAGTTTGCAGTGCTGCTAACGAAGGAAGACAAGTCATTGTATCCTGGGAGATAGACGCCACTAAGTTCGTTAGCACCATAGCGGCGCGAATCTGTCTTAAGGATATAGAATCAAATTCAAGCCTCGACTTTTAATCAGGTTCATTTATTTTATAGTTTTATTTGATTATATTAAGCTATATATTATAAGAAATTATATAATTATAGATTATTATTTTATATTTACAGATAATATTTAAATAAATAATATTATAGTATATAGTATAATTAGACCGAAGTTTTGGACAACACTAATCAATTTTCATTTTTATTTTCTTGGCTAATTAAAGAATTCTCACGGATGATCCACCAAGTGTTATCAATGACTGTTTTACTCTTTCTGGAGTTGTCTGGTTCTTCTTTCTTAGTTTTCCTTTAAGCTTTTCTTTGCTGTTGCCAACCATATTGTTCCATTCATTTTCTTTTCTTTTTCATTTTTTGAATCCGTAAAGAAAGAGCTTATGAGGGTCGCTTTGTTTTCCTGAACCATCCATGACTTGTGGTCTGTTATTAGATCATTCTACTACTGCCATTGAAGTGTGCTTCAATTCTTTAGTTTCAGTTCTAATTTATATATATATATATATATATATATATATATTACTTTAAATAAGTGCTCGGTAAATATTGAAACTGAGTTTGTGATTTAGTTTGTGTTCAATTTTTTTTTTTTTTTTTTTAAATTTTATCTAGCAGGTAAATTTAAGTCATGATTATGGAGTTGTTAAACAACACGCACTTAATATACTTTATTAATTAATCATATAATTCAACCAAATTTTATTTGACAGAAAAATTGCTTAGTAATTAGAGAACATAATCCTATACATTATGTAACATATTATTTCTACGTTGAGAAATATTCCAATTACTTATGTTTTTGTTCTGGTTAAAGGAGTACATAGTACTATCATTCAAATTACTTCTTAATTTTCTCCAATACTTCAATTCAAAATATTTTGTATATACTTGTATTTGAAGTTTGAACGCATCTCCCACGCTAAAAGAAAAATATATTGTTTTTTAATGCTATTATTTACCCAACATCAAATGACTAACTATATATATCAATAAAACAAATGAAATTAACGTGAATCTATCATCACAAAATGATTTGCCCATAACAGGACTCATGAAATACATTCACAAGAAGTCTGTGTTTGAGAAATTACAAAAATACCCTTTTTCTCAATTCTGATAGTCATTGCAAAATAATAATAATAATAAATAAATAAATAAAATAACAGTTATTGCTTATCTAAATTCGGATCCCCTCGGGGATCTGTGCACCATCCTTAATATGATTGGACTGCATAAATATTTAAATTCGGATCCTCTCGTTAGGGGATCTGTGCACCATCCTTAGTATGATTGGACTGTATAAATAAATTTAATATCAATTTGGCTTACAGAGATTCGTGCCTGTAAGCAGCCTTACAAGTAGTATTTAGCCAGGTTTACTATTCTTTTAATTTGATAGGTTAAATATCATGTGAAGAGCAGGCTCCCTATAAGCTATTATTGGGCATCACTACACTGAAGAACTGGTTTTAGTTATTATTTAAATCATATGCTTATGAAAAATTGCTCATAGCTTGAACAAATGATATGAACTTCAGAAATTGTCTGCCCGCCCACAAAACACTACCATTCTGTTATTTTTAGTAGCCTCTCTTCTGATTTCAACCAATAATTTGAGTAAAAATTATCCAAACTGTCTGTGCACCAAAACACTCCGAGCGTCCAGCTAAAGGTCCTAAAGCCAAACAACAAGCAACGAAAATGTCGCACTTTATTTTGCTCAAAAATTGCTAAACATAAAAGTTTAAACATAAAATTTTAAATTGTCAGGTGATCTGCCTATCTGTCCTTATAAGCCTTCCTATCCAGACCGTATAAGCTTTCCTATCTAGATTTGATATGGAATAAAAACTTCTAAAATTTTCCCACCCACCTGAGCTTAACTTATGCCGCCCTCACTGCCATTGAACCACTTAACTTACCCATCTCCATTAACCACCCCTTAACAAAACCAAACTTAAACTGCTGGATGGTGTTATCTACCTATCTTTACTAGCCATAGACCCTCCCCATCCGGATCATGCTGTGTAACTAAAAGAAAATAACTCCAAGAAAATCGTATTTGTTTATTGTTTATCATTTAAGCTTAAACATAATGAATGTTTATGTGTAGCTTTTATTTATCGATAGAAAGATACATTGTTTGATAACATAAAAATATTTGTCTTGTTTTAAAAACAATAAACATAAAAATATGTTTGTTAATCTTAAAACTATTTTTAAAAACTTCAACACCAGTTTCAAACAAATAATAAGAGCTTATATGAAGGTACTCATTGCTTAAGTAATATTTCAAGATACCCATTATAAATACTCACAAAAATAACGTAAGAATGAAGCTTTGGATTTCTTCTTGTTCTTTGGCTTAATATACAAAGATAAGTTCACTTTTTGACCACGTCCTTTCGAACTAATATAGTTCAATATTTTGTCTCATTATTTGACCCACTTCCATCGGGACCATTGCCACTAATATATAGTGTATGATGTATCTATACATATAGCTCACTCTCTTCACTGGACTCCTAAATTCTCTGACAATGTTACTCGCAACCGTTACTCACAACCTTAACAAATGTGTTGCTCGTCACAAAAACACCGATCATTAGTGGAATGTATGGCTCTTTGGTTATGCAAAGTCATAAAGGATAATGTTTGTTTTGTTTCTTAGCTTTTAGTTTTGTTCATGCCAAAAAAAAAAAAAAAAAAAACGTTTTGACGTTTATAAAATAAGTCCCTGTGAACAATAATCTATTAACAAATATGTATTTCTTCAAAATCTATATATATAAACAATAAATTGTAAACATAAATAGTTACCAAATGGTATTTTATTACTTTAAAGCTGTTCTTGGTTGTTGCCAACCGGTATTATTTATTCCTTTCAGATCATTTATTACTGCCATCGAGGTATGCTTTATTTTTTTAGTTTAACTTCTTGTTATTAATATATATATATATATATACACACATTCCTGGGATTGATATTAATATGACTTTAACATGATCGAAATTGAGTTTGTGTTCAAGTCATGCTTATTGAGTTGTTGCACAAGACCTACTTAATATATTTTATTCATTGGTCACTAGAAGAACATGATAAGTATCAACACATAAAATTTCTTATAGAATGTAATTCTCTAAGAACAATTACCTCTTTCAACTGTGCCTAAAGAGTGTAGAAGATGATCATTCAAATTATCTTTTAGTTTCCTCTAATAACTCAATACCAGATATTTTATAAGAAAAAACATATGAATTTTGTATTTGAAGTTTGAACACCATCTCCAACAAAAAAATATTGAATTTTAATGCTACTATTTACTTAGCATCAAATACTACACAATTCAATAAAATCCAGACTAGTATATATATATACCAATAAAACAAATGATATTAACATGAATCTATCATCACAAAATGATTTGCACACAAAACGCATGTAATATATTCACATGAAGTGAGTGTTTGGGTAATTACAAAAATACCCTTTTTCTCAATCACAATCTTTTAAATGATATAGTCATTGCAAAAATAAGAATAATAAAATGATAGTAATTGCTTATCTGAATTCGGATCCCCTCCTGTATTGCACCATCCTAAGTTCCTAACGACAATGGTACTTTCCTCCTCTTCTATAAAGAGGAGTTTCCTAGTGTTTGTTCTTGAGGCCCTCTATAAGCTACTATTGGCTGCGCTACATTGAAGAACTCATTGAAATCATGAGTCATCATATGCTAATGAAATTTTGTTGATAACAAATGATAGGGCTTGGAACTTGAGGAATTGTCATATTGTGCGCACACAAAAATTTCTTCCTAGAGCATGTCACATTGCCACATTGCGCTTTCAACTAAAGGTCCTAAAGCCAAACAACAAGCGACGAAAATGACACTTATTTTGCTCATGAATTGCTAAACATGGTAATGTTTTAAATATAATTTATAACAAAAGTTTAAGTTGTTATTCGATGCTGCCTACGCGCCCCTATAAGCCCAAGACCCCCTCCCCATCCGGATTCGATGTGAAACAAGAACCTCTAACATTCTCCCACCCGTCCAAACTTACTTGTGACGCTATCATTGCGGTTGAATCATTTAATTTGCCCATCCCCTTTAACAAACCCTTAACAACGGGAGGACACTGTAAAGACCCAAACACCCCAAGATTGGGCACTTGGTGAGAAATTGAATGAAGGACTAAGCCTATGATACCACTTGTAACGGGCCATGAGGTTGCATTCCGACCCAAAAGCTTAAACTGTTGGATGGTGTTGTCTACTAGCCTTTGCAAGCCCTAGACCAGACCCACCCCATCCGGATCATGGTGTGAAACCAAAAGAAGACAATAACACTTTGCAGGATTAAGGCAACAAAATGTAGTGTCAAAATTAAGATCAGGAAAACAAACTTGTACATGTGCACATGTAGAGCAAATTTATTTTCTTTTACAAAAATGCTATATCTGCACATCCTTTTTTTTTTCACACAAGTGGCAGCAAATTTAGTAAATCGCCTGTATGTACACTGAATGGAGCTTATAGGGTATCAAACAGAACATAGTGAAAGACAACAGAATGCTGCATGGTTCAAGAACCTTTGGTAATGTGTCGCCAACCCTTCAAAATTCTTGAACCTGTCTATTCTTGCAGCACAGACATTAGAAACAGAAGAAAAAAAATTACCGAGTCACATTTGGAGAAGATTATTCACAGTAACAGTTGCAGAATTTGTTCGCTGCAAATCCTGCAAAAATTTTGATGCATTAGAATCCTGAATCAAACTAAAAAGGTGTTTAAATTCAAAATTCATTGATTTGAAAATACAGAATCCACCAAGATGGGAGAGAAATTGTATTTAAAATGACCAGAGTTTCACTAATGCAGTGTAATATAACTGTTCCATCTAAAAATATTAGTGATAGACTTTGTTTATTACTGACTATGCTAAACATGGTGTTTAAAACTGCATTTGACAACAACCATCAGAAGGCCATGAACTGAAAACACCTCAACTTTGTCATAGTTTAGAAAATTGGTGCTAGAAAAAAAATAATAATAATAATAAAAAATAAAAAGAAAAATTAGATTCAAGTTGAGAGCAGACTTGTGCAGATATAATGTGAAAGGTCAGGTCCATCTTCCCGTCATAGCACCCAGTCGGTTAAGCACAAGTAGTGACCCTTTTCTAAATGCTAGAGGGAAACAATGCTTTTGAATAACCATTAATATCCTTTTTCTTTGAAGTTATACAGTTTTACACTTCAGTAACATAAATGAAACCAACCAGGACATAATTATCAACAACAAAACATGATAAAAATAAAGTAAGAGAGAGAGAGAGAGAGAGTAGAAGAAACCAAACAGGAGCAGTTGCACTGAGAAAAACATTAGAACACCCAAAATTTTGACAAATATCAACTTCTAGAAAATCTTACTCTCCTTAGCGGTATCATTCTCATCAGAACAAAAGGCTTGAGAACTCATCAGAATAAAAGATTTAAGTTTACTGAAGTTGTTGTTCTTTTCTTTTTCTTTTTTTTCATTTTTTTTTTTTTGTGTGTGTGTGTGTGTGTGAGAGAGAGAGAGAGAGAGAGAGGGAGAGGAAATGGGTAGAAAACCTTGAAACATCAAATAAGATCCAATAAGGGAGGGGGGAAGCATCAAGTAAGATAACACAACTCAAATCATAATTATACCTGAAAAATTAATTCATCAGGGATGTGGGGAAGCACCTCCCGTACTGTTTCAGCCATGGCAAGCATATTTGCTACACTATCATTGGCAGCACGTGAAATAGTCCTCATATGTAAACCACCAGCACTTGCAGGGTTCCGTACAGAACCTGCAGGAGGAACAGTTGAACTGGATGTACCAGCCTGAGAGGGATTTGTGGGCCAAAGACTCCAAGTAGAATCTTCAAAGGCAGTCTGGGCATATGTTTCTCCTACAGCAGCGAGTTGCCTCATCATCATCTGGACTCTCCCTAATCCAACTGATCTAATAGCAGTAGATGGACCAGCACCATCGAGACCCCGGCCACCCCAAGTATTCAACCAACTTGGATCCATTCTTGTCCCCCTGAAAGCATGCAAACAGGAAATTAAACCAAAAAAACAATTATAAAACATAGACTGGTTTAAAGAATGGCTGTGGTGTAAAGAGAGAGAGAGAGAGAGAGCAGTGTGTGTGGAATCGCTTAGTATTTAGCTAATGGAGGGTTTAAAACTGGTCCGGAGGCTAACCTAGTGTTTGCTATTTTTCTTTCTTATGGTTAAGTAGTTAAACAGTTTCTACATGTTCCATAAAAAGGAGTATTCAGCGCATAACAAAATAGAATGTGCCCTAAAAATGGTAGAACCAGGTTGCAATTTTACCCAACTTAAAATATGACAAAATTTCATCTGATGGATGCATTGTCGAAATCATAAAAATGTATTTCCATGCCACATAATTAAGAGGTGCTTTTTCAATATAATTAGTCAAAAGAACCTGCCTTAAGCAATGCCCTCCAGCCAAGAGTAATTAAACACAGGTAAAATAAAGGAGGAAAAAAAGATACAAGTACATAACCAAACCTCCAAGCACCACGTTCTAAAGGGTTCTCTGCCTGCTCAGGGAACACTCCTGTAGGCAGGGTATGACCAGGATTATCATGCCGATCAAGTCGGGCACTTATTTCACGGGCAAGTTGCTCATCAGTTGAAATTTCTCCGGCATGCAGGTTTGCATCGTCTACAGGTCTGCCCACAAAAAGTGGTTTACGACAAGTGGGGCATGAATAATTCTCACTCGAACCTTGATCCAACCTTTTATTAAAATGTAATTTCAGTATTATATTGAACTTCATAAATTGCAATTAAAGGCAAAGAGCATTTATAACTTATAACAACAAATATAGATCTTACCAAGATCTCAAGCATGCAAGATGAAAAAGATGGTTACAAGATAGCTTCTTAGCCTTAGCCATTGGTTCCTGTCATTGGCCAATCTTATCAAATCTTGGAGATCAAGAAAATTACTAAAAGGCAAACAATGAATGAATTTTCTAAGCTTACTCTACAGATAGCACATTCATCATCAAATGCTTGTAGCTCCTCAGATGTCGCATCAGGAAGTGCCCCGTGAAGAGTCCCTAAAGCTATTCTCAGTTTTATATATCCTCTGATACGCTTTGCAATTGCACTTAACAGGGCCTGGTTGTAGTATGAATTTGAAATTTAAGTGCAGTGAACATGACATCAGAATGCCAAAATAACTAAGCTAAATGAATGTTGAACCATTGAAATCAAATCAAGCGAGAAAAAATTACACGTATATTTAGGAATAGGACTGCATCGACAAGATGGAATGCCATGCCATGAAGCCACCAAATATTTAAATAGTGACCAAGAGCCATAAACAACGTCATAACGTCTAGGAGAAACCCGAAGTTACGTATAAGAATGCCTTTCCATTCCCACAATGAACCTGCATCAACTCTTGCTAATTAGAGAAACAAATATAATAATGAAAAATCAAATCAAAACAAATCCAATGCAAGCAAGAATCGCCGTAAACCTGAACTTAGCAGCATCAGCAACAACACAAGAAGAGAAAATACACCAAAGTCAAAAGAAACTTCTTGAACCTTAACTTTAGCAAAACGCACAAACAAATGACATTGACAAGAAGACCCACAAACTACACAGATGTCAAATTTACAGCAATCACAAGCACTTGTAACTTAGAAGACAAAAACAAACACTGATGCACTTTCTGATTTTTATACCAGTTCAACAAGGTCAGACATAACCAAAAAAGGTGCTGTGAAAGCACCAAGTATTCCCTTCACTCTGCACTGCTTTCCAGTGACTTAACATGCTTTAAGAATTCACTCAAAACGACTATATATCTTTGGAACGGAAAATCATTTCACATGCTTTAACCATTTCACTGAAACGACTATATATTTCATGTTTCACAAGACAGATCTTCTTTCCAACATCACAAATTCTAATATATAAAAATAAAAATAAAAAATAAAAAATAAAAGTATCAAACTTACTTCATGTTTGGGACGACTTCTCTTTTTTATCTTTTTCTTTTTCTTTTTCTTTATTTTTTTTTTTTTTTTGTCCCCCCCTTCTGATAAGTATTCACGCTTTTATGAAGGGGGAAAACAGGAAAAATGGGACCATAGAAAAAGAGTACCACCAAACAAGAAAATAATAAACACCACATGAATACATATAAATGATTTGAGGACTACCTGCTGCTGATATATCAAAGAGTTTAGATCTTTGGCAATCGGTGCTATTTTCTGCTGAGTGATGGAGCCATATATCTAGCAACTGAAATCCATGGACCACAATTGCCTAAAAAAAACATTTTCTAGACCTTAGCCTGAATTATTCTAAAAATTGTATACCCTGAGACTTATTGATGAATACATTCATAAAGAAAATTAGGAAATTTTTGGTAAAATACCTGTAATGTCTCAAAAGCAATGCTGAGAGGCTCAAAGAATAACAACATGAACATAGATGAACCTAATCTTCTATATATCACCAGACACGTCTTTATCCTGCAAGAACTCCAGTAAAAAACATGTGAGGCATTGGAGGGTAAAAGGTTCATGCATGGACATGAACTTAAAAAAAAAAAAAAAAAGGAATAAATAAGTAAAACTAAAATATACTTCAAAACAGAAAAAGCTCAAAGAAATCATCTCCATCATTTCAGATAATGTGTTATTGTGTCGAAAAGATGTTACTTTCTAACGCTCTAGCTTCTTCATCACATTTAAGATAATGTGTCATTGTGTCAAAAATATGTTACTTTGTAACAGACTAGCTATTCAAAAAAATTAATATGTACCATGATTTCTGGTTAGGGGCATTGTTTGGGATGTAATGGATGTTTTGGGGGTATGCCTCCAGGACATCATCTCTTAGTCTATTTGCTTGAATTGTTCAGCAAGGCTTAGTCCTTGCTTTTTATGGTGTCCGATTTTAGGACCTGAGTTTGGTGAGGGTATGCCCTCTAGTGTACTTTTACTATATTGTTTTACTTATATATTTTTTCCATCATTTAGGAAATAATATGTACCACGATTTCAAAAAAAGTCCTCACCAAACTCAGGTCCTAAAATACAATATAGAAATCACAACACAGTTGCAGCTCCTTTATAAGTCTTTAGTGCATATAAAATATTTGGACAAGAGATAAGCATGCTCAAGTTAATTTGAGAATTTGCCAAAATTCAAAGTCTTTATCATTTCACGCAAGTGAATTTGTGCACTCTCCTATTTATTCATTCTCTCTCCTTTTTGCCCTCCGACTCTTCCCTTCCAATGTTTTATGTTTAAATCATGGACAATCAAACACAAATAGAAGATATATCTAAGCAGATTCACTTAGAAGATATATCTAAGCAGATTCATTTTAAGGTCGAGGTGGAAGGGTGAACATCAAATGCCGAGTCAATATCTAAGCAGATTCACTTAGCCGTTCGCATTCAGGAGTAAGAAAGATAACTAGTTAGCGGGCCCATCTGTTGTCAGTCCATATTGGATGGATCTACCCCTCATCTTCTAATCGTTTTTCTACACTAACGCCCCATCCCCAATAGATGAACAGAAAAAAGCTGAAGAAAGGTGAGAGAGGGATTTGATACTCAGCTATCTCCCTCTTCCACAAGTAGGTGAAGAACAAGAAGGCCACAAAACCCAACTAGGAAACCTTTCACTGTGCCACACCAAGGTGCTCTCCAAATTTCTACTCGTATAGAAGTAAATGGACGCAGAATTACTATCATAGCTCATTTTTTTTTTTTTCCCCCTTTGGGTGGGTAAGAAACACACACACCCACTTTATCCTGCTTGGGGCTTGAACCCTCGACCTCCCCTTTGGACAGGTGAAGGTCATACCACCTATGCCAAGGGCCTGGTTGTCTCACACAATTATTTAAGTCTCTGGAAAAGAATGTCAGGATTTCAATTACTAAATGAAAGGCTCTACTCTACTGAAATTGAAATCCAAGCAAGGTAGTGGACAGTGGCTGACCTTTTTTTGGCATAAACCAATTCTCCCAGAAGCCCTTTATGGCATTCTCTTTTTCTTAGAATAATGGCACCCCATTATGGAACTTTGACAAATTAAAATCCGCAAGCGACGATTCCCACTCTTATGGTGATGTCCATTTTTGTAGCACAAAATCCTCAACCATCTTCTATTATTACAAATAAGACAGTCCTCAAGGGTATGAATTTAAAACATATTTTTAGTGAATCACTTGTAAACTGCTTTTCTAGATTCGCGAGTATCTCTTCTACATCTCCAATGCAGAAATGTTCACACATAATTAAAAGAATAAAGACTTTAGGTCAAAAGGTTGTGACATTTATGAAGGACCAACCCTTGGATTTTTAGTCTAGATTCGGTAGTAGAAGACTCGTCTAACAAAAAGGAGAAATACACATTCCATAATGTTTGGAAATTAAGTCATGTGTTGTCATATTCCTCATCAAGACAGAGTTGTATTATGTTGAAGTATCTTGAGTTGTTCGTGGACATCTACTGAAGACTTGGCAGACACAAAATTCAAGGGACACTCATCACACATTTCATCAATCACACATTTCAAGGCCTCGATTGACCGGACATGCTCCAGTAGGCTTCATTCAAAAGCTCGATTGATCGAACATGTTGGACCTATACTTTTTAGAACTCTATTAAAATACCTAAAACATATGAGACTCCAATATTAGCTATAAAATGGGGTTTTGACTAAGGTTGCAAATGAACTGAGTTGTTCGTGAACAACTTTGGCTCGGTTCGTCTAAGGCTTGGCTCGGGCCCATTCGCTAAGCAAACTAGCTGAGCTCGAACTCAATTTCTAGACTCTTTTAATAAACGAGCCAATCTTGAACAGTATTGGGCTCAACTCGCCTAGGCTTGTGAACATGAGCTCACGTAGGCGCGTATATGTCCTTGACCATAGGCTCGTATAGGCTTATGAACACGTTCATAAATATAAGCTTGTATAGGTTCATGAACTTAAGCTCATGAACATAGGCTCGTGAAAGCTTTGTATAAGTTCATGAACAAGGCAAAGCAATCATGAACACGAGCTAAAACCAAGCCCAAATAACTTCTGTTATTAAACTAACCAAGCCCGAGTTTTTCAAAGTAATGACAATCTGAACCGGAGCTCAACTTTTCGAGCCCATCAAAATCCCAAACTGAGCCCACAAGCAAACAAGCTGAGCCTGAACTGACTAAAGCTCAGCTCGGCTCGATTGGCACCCCTCGTTTTGGCCAGTCTAGGGTGAGGAAAACAAGAGAGATTCCTCACATATTCAATCTAGGGTTCACAAAGACTATTCATGTATGATTGAATATCCATGAAAGAGATTTTACTTAGATTAATTCTTCAACCGAACAATCAAGAGCAGACATAGGAGAGCAATTACTAGAGAAGCAGATTCCTGAGGAGCGGATGTTGTAGACAATCGGGTGGATGGCCTGGAGACTTTCGGAGAAAGTGCGGCATCATCTGTCTCTAGACGTAACTAGGGGTTTGAGATGACTAAACTGTTAACATGGTTGTAATCTCTTTTTTTTTTTTTTCTTCATAGTAGATTATGCCTAAATGAATAGGTCCCATGGTTTTTCCATTTTGAGGGGTTTCCACATAAAAAATCTCATGTATCTATTCCTCTCTACTTTGATTTATTAACTGTTCTACTGCTTAACTGTGGTTTGATAGAAAATTGAATCTTAACCTAGATCAAACTCCACATATAACTAACTGGAATTTAAGTTATATTAATTAATTGTTGAAAAGTTAGTTAAAAGCTAAAAAAATTTCACAAGACCTATTCAACCCAAGGCGCACTAAGGCACTAGAGGTCCTCTAGAGCCCACCAGGCACAAGGCGAGGCGCGTGCCTCAGTGAAGTGAGGCACATAATGAAAAAAAATTAAATTACTATTCAAGCATTCATATTCCATATTAAAGGCGCAAATGTTGTCAAAGGTGCACCTTGACACACAACATGTGCAAGTCTTGAGCCTCTATGAGCTTGGAGCCTAGGCACGCACCTAGACGCGCCTTTGACGACATTGATAGCACATATATCTAACTGCAATTATTTATTCATAATTCTATGTTAACAAGTGCGTACCTCAAAACAAACATTATATAAAAAACATCATTATATGTACACTGCCAATACTACTTCGCTAATCTCTTTTTTTTGTTAGTAGATTTTTCTCGTATATCAAAAAGTGTCCACCAAATGCTTGACTTGTTTTGGCCGTTTTTAGCATACTAAATTTTAGACGTGTTAGGCATGTCGACAATGTTTCTAGAAGTGTCAAAGAGTGTTCTGTCCAATACAGGTTAGACACCATGTTAAGCAAATACACATCATCTCTTCAGAAGTGTTTGTGCTTCATCGACAGCTATAAATTACATTTCCATAAAAGAAAATATACAGATATATATATATACATCTGTTTTTAGTTTTAGTCATACTTTTTGATGGACTTGCAGAATAAATCTTTATTCCCAAAATTAGTGAAACATTATTTTTGTTCCTATGCATATTCTTCTCTCAAAATTAAGAATGCAAAAAAGATAAATTTCCAATTTCAAAGCAGCTATTTAGAAAAGACTTAAAGGCATAAAGCAATACCAGAGCAAGTCGATACATATGATGAACAATAATACAGAATATACACGAAAATATGTCCAAGGGGATGCAGAAGGAGACGCATTCAGACGTTCAAGACGCTCTCTACCCAAAGCTTGAAACATCTGTACAATACACATAGGTTACTTTAATGTAAGATGAGCCATTAAGTTGCATCCATGCAAAAGCTACATTTTAAAATATAATTCAAATACCTTTAAGGAACAAAGGACAATCAACCATGTTGACCATAGGGCCCCTTGAGATATTGTTGGCTGGACAACCAATGGAAGAAATATCCCCTGTTCAACAGTAATCAAACATCAATACATGAATAGCAATCAAATAAACATTGACGAAAGAGTAAGCTTAGCAAACATATCTGTATAACTATATAACCCATTAGATATATAAATACATACATATAAATGTATGAGTAGACTCAACAGAGATCAATGTGTGTCCAAAAATTACTTAACCCATCCAACTTCACAGAAGTGAAAATAGCACATTGTGATAAAAAACTCAACAACGACACAGATCCACACTGATCCAGAGAAGCAATCCAAATTAATCAATCTGTTACAGTTGTATTTTTCTTTTTTTCCCCTTGGTCGGTACCATATTGATACAATTCAACAAGAAAGTTTTGTGTATAGCCTCCAATCTTCTATCAGTCTCTTAAGTACTCAAACATGTTCCAATTAGCCAAAAAGCGGTGCAAAGGGGGAAACCATTATCAGACTTTTCGCAAAATATTCATCAAAGTATGCCATGTAACGTTAATACAAATTCCATTCTCTAAATTTCAGATGTTATGAAATATGGGATCGTTACCCAAGGCTATGACAAGACAGAGTATGCACGGTTTATTAGACCTATAGAGGGTGAATAGGTCTTAACGATATTAATTTGGAACTTTTTTTTCAGATAACCGGTAATCCTTGTTCATTCGTTTGTTTACTTGTCTCAAAATATTCACACAAACACATAAAGCAGGAAATAAATAAAGTAGTGAACAAATTTTTTTTATGTAGAAAACCCCAGATAGGGAAAACCTCGGGACCCGTAATGAGCAATCCACTATGAGAAAGAAGTTTTACAATCATGTTATCAGATTCCCACCCTAGAATCCACTAGTTACTCCTTGAGACTTATGCCAAACTTTCCACTCGAGTCTTGCTCCATCAATGGATCCCTCCTCACACAATACGCCTCTCAATGGTTTATTCAATCCTTCATCTTTGCTCTACTTGATCATATTGATTTAGTCAAATCGTCTCTAACGTACTCCTTGCTTTGAAACCCTCAAGAACATAGTCAATTTCAAAGTATAACTTTCAATAATTCTACTATTGAATTTTAAGAATTTCGAAGTAACTTTCAATATTTATACTACTGAATTTTAGGTGGTTTATTGAACTGGTTTATTTCAAAGTTCCATAACTTTGAAATATGATTTTGAGGTTATATGAGTTGGAATTTGTTGTCAGGAAACTTTCACAAATTTTTTGTTTTGTTATATATTTTTTATGATTTACGCAAATTGCCCTTTACTACCATTGTGTTTTGAACTCTGGTGTAGATACCCTAAATATAGATAGTATTTAAAATGCTAATGTAAATTATGTCCTGTATATGATTAGTAATCCTATTGAATCTAGTTCACAAAAACATAAAGCTCATAAAAAGATTCGAAGTATATAACCCTCAGAAATTAAAATAAGACAGTTTGGCCAACTCTGTCAGTAAATTTGCAGCATACAAAAAATTAAAGTAGAAAATATTCAATAATAAGAAAACAATTGTTCTGCCTTAAACAAACATTTTTACTATGAAATTAGATGTATCTAGTTTCGATATAATCAGATTTCATGTAATTTGACTCTTAATCTTGAAATATATGAAAAAAATTTAAATGATTAAGGTCAAATGTCCATGGAAGTGAAAATTCCTCAAAGTTAATTGGGTTGTTGAGGAATCTATCCAAGATCTTAAATCAATTAAAAAAATTAAAAATCACAACCTCTTAGGAAGGATATTTCAGGACAGATCGTGGCAGTATACATGTGTACATTATATACATATATAATGGTAAGGGATGTGTGAACCACCTTATCCTTCATTATCCAGCGACAAGTGATGTGTGGTCTTTGTTCTTGGTTGCTTTTGGCATGGCTTGGGTCTTTCCCGAGTCCATGGTTGATATTTTTGAGGCTTCGAGAGGGTGTATAGTGGAGAGCTGAGCCAGGGATGCGTGGAGAGCCACGCCCCTTTGTTTATGGTGGGGTCTGTGGCATGAGAGAAATAGGAGATCCTTTGATGAAGACGAGTCCCCTATTTGGTCTCTTAAATACAATATCCTTTATACTCTATTTTTTTGGTCAATGGGGCAAATTGTATAAATTTTGTGGCATCTTTTGGATTTTGTGGATAGCTTGAAATTATAGTGCCATTTTAGGCTTCTTTGTATTCCTTTGGGAGAGCTGCTATCTTGAGCGCCTTTAATGAAATCTTATCAAAAAATAAAATAAAATCGTGTACTTAACCAAGGAAATGGCTCTACAAAGAGGCAACTAGAGACGATAGATCTATGTACTCTTATCTCAAGTAGTTATGACGAAGAACTGTTGAGTTAGTTGTTTATGTATGCACATATATATCACCCTTAGCTTAACTTATTATTTCTTTGACACCATAATAATTTTAACTCTTTTATATCTCTTCAAGTACAAAAATTTTCAGCCTTAAGAAGAAAGCATCTACACAGTTTTCAATGGGTATATTATCATCTTACAATATTGCCAACTACAAAGTAAAGGGCAAACAACAAAGTGTGACTGCAACCACCATTATGGGCACGGATGAGATACCAAAAACATACAGCTATGAGTCACAATTTGGCCTACATGTCACTGTAAGAATATTTACCTTGTAAATAACATAATTAATAAAACGTTCCACCAGTTTTCGAGTTTCAGATGGATACAGCTCCACAAAAAATATAGTCTGCATGAAGAGTGTAAATGAATCAGTTGAAATAAGATAGTCATGAATAAGTTCACCAATAAAATGCCACTTTTATCAAAATAAATCAAAATTAAACTTTTCAAGCAAGAGAAATAGCCTATAATAGACGAAAAACAGCATTGCAAGCCCCACCAGGAGCCTTTTTCATAACTATCAATTTATTTAAATCGACTATTGATGTGAAGTATCTTCCCTGTCTTGTTGTTAAAAGTTCTCATAACAAAATTCACCAAGTTGGAGACCAGAATAGTAAAATCTCTCTCAAGATTTACTTAGGCAACACAAGGAACTTCATAAATGCAATTTCTCTCCCAGGTTTAGCTTGAGAAATAAGTCTTATCCACAGTTCACTAAGTTGAGGCATTGCAGTGGTCAAGGAACTCCACAGTTAGACACGTGCAAAAACTGGGACTACGTAAATTTTAAACTAAATCTTTTAACATCAACACATCTCTAACCTATAGCCAATCAGATAAACACCTCAAATGCATTGTTGAGTAGCGGTGAGAATTGAAGTATGAACAAGTGGTTTACTTGATTCTCACTTAACTAACAAACATAAAGGGAGATAAATAGGTCTATTTCACTCTTTTTGCATGATTTTAACCTTTGAAGGATTTTAATGGCATGCACACAATTACAAGAAGCAAACTATAGTAAAAATTGACTAAGAGAGATAAACATGATTTTTACGTGAAAAACAGCAGTGAGAAAACTACAAAGACTCATCGTAGGCCAAAGATCCACTATGAATTAGAAAAACACAACAAGTTCAAGTTCTTTCAGAACTACTCTCCTCAAGTTGCTAATCCTAGTGCTCCCGGAATCAATTGCCTTTGATTTTTCTCCAAGGATTAGTACCCTCTAACTGATGTTTTTCACAATCACCATTAGCACTAGTCCACATCAACACAATACCCTCATGATAATCTGCTTCTCGTAGTGATTTTCTTCCATTAACAGGCCGTGTTGGATGGCTTCAATGAGAAGTGAGTGGATATATAAAACTCCAGTACTTTCACAATCACCATCAGCACTAGTCCACATCAACACAATACCCTCATTATAATCTGCTTCTCGTGGTGATTTTCTTCCATTAACAGTTGTGTTGACCGTGTTGGATGGCTTCAATGAAAAGTGAGTGGATATATATACACTAGGGGTGGCAAAATGGGTCAGAACCCACCAACCCGCCCATATCCGCCCAGTTTTTAATGGATTTGGGTTAACCATATTTAACATGGGTCAAAAATGAGTTGGATAATTTTTAACTCACTAATTTTAAGGTCAAAATGGGTTGAATATGGTTAACCATATTTCAGCCCACATTATTAACAATCCAAGTACATTGATTAGGGTTTGGTTCTGGGTGCACCCCTCTCTCTCTCTCTCTCTCTCTTCCCTTCGTCGTGCAGCTCTCTTTAGCCATGTAGCTCTCTCTCTCTACCCTTTGCCGTGCAGAGAAAACCTTATATATATGTGTATATATATAAATTCTCTGCACAAACAGAGAGTCTTGAGCACCGAGAGGCAAAACCCATTTCAGTGTTCGTATGCATATGTATTCAACTGGGTTTTGGGAGGATGTGTGGTGTGGAGACCGCACTTTAGCATGTTCATTCCCTAGACTGTTTAGGATTGCGGTGGATAGGCATGCCTTGGTGGCTGACTGCTATTGCCTTGATAGCGGGAGACCGGTTTGGGATGTGCTTTTTCAGCGATCTTTTCAGGATTGGGAGATGGATGATGTGTTTGATTTTTTAGAGTTTTGTATAGCCAGGTGATCTGGGGAGGAGGTAGGGATTCTCTTGTTTGGATTTCTTCTGCTAGGGAAATGTTTAGTGTGAGATCTTTTTTCGGATGCCTTGTGGACTCGGATGGGGTGGTATTCCCTTGGAAGGAAGTGTGGCGAACTAAGGCACCATTGAAAGTGGCCTTTTTTGCTTGGACGGTTGTGTTGGGTAAAATTGACGCTGGATAATTTGAGAAGGAGAAAGCTTATCACAGTGAATTGGTGTTGCATGTGTAAGTGCAATGGCGAGTCGGTTGATCATCTTCTATTGCGTTGTCCAGTGGCGGTGGAGTGGCAGTGGATTGTTGGAACCTTTTGCTAGGTTTTTTTGGAGTCTGTTGAGTTATGCCTAGATCTACGAGAGGCCTGATGGAAACCTGGAGAGGGGTTGGATGGGAGCACAGGCTCGAGGGCTCTGGAGGATGGCGCCCCTATGTCTTTGGTGGTGTTTGTGGAGGGAGCGGAATAGAAGATCTTTTGAAGGAGAGGAATCTTCCATCAGTGTTCTGAAATCTTCTGTTATTAGCTCTCTTTGTTTTGGGGGTTTGGGTAAACTCTGCTCTTCTGCTGAGGAGACTATTGAGTTTTTGCCTTCCCTGAGGCCTTAGGGTACCCAGGTTTTTGTGGTTTTGTTAGGGACACGTTCCTCTTTTGAACGCTTTTTTAATGAATTGCTTATTTATAAAAAATAAAAAAAAAAAATTGAAGAATTTGAGCAACGTAAGAGAAAGCAGGAGGTGTTTTTCTCGATTAATCTCCTCTCTAAGTTGATTTCATGTTTTTGCAGATATGTATTAGTGTTTATGCTTAACTTTAGCTTTCAATTTTTGTAAAAAGGTCATACTATTGTTTATCTAATTGTTGTTCTAAGTTTCTTGTTTTCTATCAAACACCTTGTCAACATTTTTGTAATACTGAAAAGGAAATGTAAGATTTTTGTTGTGGGAATGCAAATTGTGTTGAGTATACAGTTGGGTGTGATTGTATAGGGGACAATTTTAGTTACCCTAAATAATGATCTGTTTTGAAGAATATGATTGATTGTTTGCTGGCTCTTGATCAAATTGATAAATAATTAGTTTCAGTATTTATAATTAGTCTTTATATTATTTTTTGTCTAGATCCTGATCTAACTTTTCTACTATATAGATCATATGTGAAGCAGTGAATAATCTATTTGTTTTGTTGTACAATAGTTGTAAATAATGATCTGTTTTGACGAATATGCTAGTTAGTCTGCTGGCTCTTGATCAAATTTTAATCATCTCTGTTTGTTTCTTAAGGGTGCTGCCACCTCTGATCTGTTTTTCAATATCCTTAATAACATATATATATATATATATATATATATACAGTCTCATTAGAGAAGCATAAGGCGCACACTCTCCCTTTTTTGTTATGTGTTTTTTTTTTTCCCCCTTGTAAATGGGTCAGATTCTTTGTAAATGGGTTGGATACCCTATAAACGGGTCGGTCCTATTGTGAATGCCTAATGGAATTAGTTAAAAAATAATAATTAATGAGTTCACGGATCATAGCAGGTTGACCCTGTACATTTTTGCCCCGCCCATTTTCAACCCGTTCAGAACAGGTTGAATATGGGTCTTGACCCATGTTTGACCCGCCCATTTTCAACCCGGTCCAACCCACCTGTTTGCCACCCCTAATATACACACATATACCTCATTTGGATATATGTGTGTATGTATATATGTATATACATATATGCATTTGGATATATATACACACACACGTGCATGTGGGACAGGAGGACAACATGTGCCCGGTAGTGGACTACAAGGTCCTCTAAAAGGCCCAACACCACCATTGTCAACAAAAAAGTTGAAATTTGTATTTTTTCCTGGTGTGTGATTGGAATTTGCTACGAATGTTCAAAATCGAAAAGTACATACAACATGTTGCTGCCCTTCTTCAAAATCCAAAGCTTACCTTAACTTGCGGCATTAATGCCACCAGTCATGACCCCACAGCCAATGATGAAATCATCCCCATGAAATGAGAAGTCTTCAATAATATAGAATAAGAAAACTGAGTGCTACTAAACCATTCATAATAGGTTATTTATTGACCCATGTGAAATGGAGGACTTCCTCTGTTTTCATTACTTATTCTTGGAAAGCTCTCTCTGCAAAATTCTGGAGAGACGAACTTTCGAATTTTTAAAGAATAAGAAATTAAATAGTTAAACCAAACAATAGGTCATTCTTTGAACAGGTACATTTAAAAATAAATAAATAAATAAAATAAAATAAAAAAACGAAAGTATATAAATGTGCCATAATTTTATTGAACAGGTATATTGAACAAAGAACATAACAAAACAACATCATTAAACTGAGATATTATGATAATTTGCATCTCATGTAATGGCAACTTGACACCATGGCCTTGATTGTAGATTCTCAGTAGATTGGGAGTTTTTTGCAACATCAGTGCATCATCTGGGGGCTTTTGTAATTTACGATTTATAAGTTTATATTATTAAAAGTTGACGGTATTAATTAGTTCTTGTAACATAAATTCTGGCTATGCTCCTGTCTATGTCATTAATATTTTATGTTTTCTCAAAAAATAATAATCTTAAACTTCATCTCCTCTCGTGATAAAAGACTAAAAGCGAATCAACAAGTATGCGTAATATTTCTGAATGTGTATGAGAATAAGGTTAAGCGCAACGCATGCACTAACTGTAAACACATCTAACAGAAACAACTATCTAGAGTCTAAGGTCATAAAGCAAATAAAAGCAACTGTAAAGAAATTAATATTATGTATGAGTACTTTTTAGGCAAGCTGCATCATTCAACATATGTGCTGCTTTGCACATAGTTCCAGCAGGAAATACTGATCAGCAATTAACACTAAAAGTTATTAAAAACCAGAGAATGCTTACCTTAAGACACAGAATGAGCAGGATAAATACGTTGAGAGCAAAATTGGCCAACAAAGCAACTGTAGTGTAAGAACCCAAAAGCAGCTCTAGTGCACGATCAGCGTTCCCAGAAAAAATAGAAATCTCATCAGTTAAGCCATTTGATATCACTTTCTCAAGTGACAGTCCCGTCCAATACTGGATGCCAACAAAGCTTAACACTGTGCAGACCACAGAGATTGATAAGTAGCTCACAGCCATGGACAATAAATATGGCTTCTGTACCCCAACCAAAGTTCCAAATTTTCATGAGACTCAAATTAGCATGACCCACTTTGTCCGCAAAATGTATCAGAGAAGAAGCATGCTCGAGAGGAACAGGCTATGACTTATCTTGTACACCCACCAAAATCAATCCTTTAAATTATCACGAAAATGTCCCAAGATGAAATCAAGAAGCCTGCATTGAAACCAGTAATAATCTGTAATTATAAACAGAAGGGCATAAAAAATCCTAATACACTTTTTAAGAGGCACCATAATTGTGGATTCTCTCTCTCCATTTCCTTCTCGCTATTTTCTCAAGTCCCAACTCAACAAAAACCGGGGCCAGACTGGTTAAGGTCGGCTATATTACTAATTTTTTTCATTATTCCACTCCATCTAAATCCGTAGTTTCAATTAAAGCATAAACTACCCCATACATCCTCATAGCCTTAACTCAAACACTCTTGTTCTGTGCTTCCCTAACCCAACAACACCTCAACCATGTATTCTCACTGTTCTCAGCCAAACACGAATCACTAAAAAAGCTTCTAGATCCAGTGGTGCAAAGAAATAATCATCTATTACCAGATAATAGGTGGAAATGCAGCCAAATAACCTTATTTTACATACGGAATCTATTTGTACAGTAACAAAAGGGTTCCAAAAAAAAACCCAATTTTGAATTTTAAAAATCTCCAACAGGTCAACGTGCAAATAAACTAAAAATTACGAAAAAGCTTCATAAGTGGATCTAATTACATGAAATTCGAAACCAAATACAGTCTCTCCCCATAAATTCAGACAAAATTCTTCCATTTCTGACCTGAAATAGCCAAATTAATCAAATACAAGACCTACCAGAAACCCTACGATTAACCAAACAGAAAAAGGAATAAAAAAGCCCAAATGAATTGATCAAATGAATGAAGAAAAAGCGATAAATAACGGATTGTAATTTATACATATAAACGTGTTTATTTATATATATATAAATAGAATAAATTCAAAGATCATCGCAAACCTGTTTAGATCCGCTACAAGGTGTTGTAGCGTCGGTGGATAATTCTACAATTACCTAAAATTTTCCGGTCAATTTTGTTTGGAGAGAGAGAGAGATTGGGTCTGTTTTTGCGGGAAAGCGGAATGTAATAAATCTAATATAGTTGGAATAAAATATGAAGAATTTGGGTTGTTTTGTCAAATTAATATTTGACCATCACTAAGTAAAACAATAAAACAAAACATAGTTTTCTCATAAACAATTTAAATTTGTCAATGGACTAATTTTCTTTTCTTTTTTTCTTTTCTTTATTTATTCTTTTAGTAGCAACAGAGGTAGGTAATCTCATGTTTAAAGTGACATTCTAAAATATTGTTATATACCCATAATGAAAGAACAAAGTGATCAAAGGTGATGTTGTTGCGGCTATTGTAAGTTTTTTTTAATTCTGGTCATTTAAAAGTTTTTTTTTTTTTAATTCTGGACATTTACTTAAAAGTTTTAATCATATTAATATTGTTTTGATTCCAAAGATCTTGTCGCCTACTCTTGTTTCGCACTTTCGGCCTATTTTTTTTTATTTAATATTGCGTATCGTATTATTGCGAAGGTGATGTCTAATAGATTGAAAGTTGTAATGGATGCTATTATTAGCGGACGCAAGTGCTTTTGTTGTAGGAAGACGAATCACTAACAATATTCTTGTCACTCATGAGATTCTCCATTACCTTAAAAATAAAAGTAAGGGGCGTAAGGCGTTCATAGCGCTCAAACTAGATATAAGCAAGGCCTATGACCAGATTGAACGGGACTTTCTTTTTTAAATGATGCATCGTTTGGGATTTCATGATCATTGGATTAAACTGGTTTCTGTCTGTGTAGATGTATCTACAGTTACTCATTCCATTAATATTAATGAGAATCTGTTGGTTTCTTCTATCCTTCCAGAGGCTGACGGCAAGGGGATCCTTTGTCGTCGTACTTATTTATTATTTGTGCTGAAGCGCTTGCTTTAGCTATTAATCGTGCTCAACAAGCTTGGGTGTTAACTGGTGTTTGAATCTGTCGAGGGGCTCCGAAAATGTCCCATTTATTCTTTGCTGATGATTCGATTGTCTTCTGCTCTACTTCTAAAAGTGAGGTTGCCTCCTTAAAACGCATTTTGCAATAGTATGAATATGCCTCGGGTCAACAGATTATATTTGCTAAATCTTCCACTTTCTTGTCTAAAAATGCTTCAAGTGGACTAAGATTTTTTTTGAGTATGATGCTTAGTTTATCCGAGGATGGTATGCACGCTCGTTATTTAATTGTGCCGGCCATTATTAGGAGATATAAAAGAGATGTGTTTCAGTTTGTGTCTCAACATATGTTGGATCGATTGGGGTCCTGGAAATCCAAAACTTTATCAGCGGGTGGAAAGGAAATCTTAATTAAGGTGGTGTTAAGTGCCCTTCTTACGTATGTTATGTCGTCATTCCAACTTCCTCGATCACTTTGTCTTGAGTTGATGAAGTATATTCGTGATTTTTGGTGGCGCAAGTCTAGGTCAAAGAAACCTGTTTATTAGCTTAATTGGGATTTGTTGTGTCGACCAAAGAAATGTGGGGGACTTGGTTTTCAGGACTTGGAAGCTTTTAACATGGCATTATTGGCCAAGCATGCTTGGAATTTCCAAATTCTTAATTGAGGTCTGGCGTATAAACTGCTCAAAGCTAAGTATTTTTCTTCTTGTTCTTTTTTGGAGGCACCTTTGGGTTCAAATCCATCATGGGGTTGGTGAAGCATCTTGTCTACCCAGCCTTTGCTGAAAGCTGGGCTACAATAGTCGGTGGGAAATGGCAAATTTATTCATATTTGACATGATCATTGGGTTTCTTGTTTTCCAAACTTGCTTCAACCTCGGCCTGATGTTGACTTTTGTTCTTTTTGCTTTGTGGCTGAACTTATAAATCCTATTTCTTATTCCTGGCGGTTGGACCTTCTCTATCATTTATTTCATGAATCGGTTGCCCAGGCAATTGGTCGGATTCCTATTAGTCATTATGATAAAGTTGATGCTCCATATTGGGATCCTGATTCTAAAGGCCAGTTTTTTGTTAAATTTGCATATAGCTTAGCTATTTCTAGTAATGTGTTGCATGGGATGATACCTAATGTGTCTGATGATGCTATTTCTTTGGTTTCGGATGGTGTTGCTAGGTGGAAGTCTGTTTGGTGATGTGATATACCTTATAAAATTAAGCATTTTTTATGGCAATGTTGTCATGATGCTTTACCTATAGGGTGTTCTCTTCTTTATAGAGGGTTGGGTCTCATTCCTGTTTGTGCTAGATGTGGGGTTGAGGATGAAAATATTGTTCATCTTTTGTTTAAATGCCCTCATTCTATGCAGGTGTGGAAATTGTCCCCGCTTCGAGTGGATTTTTCAAATATTGTTTTTCATTCTTTTTTGGATTGGTGGTTTTATATTTTACGCCATGTTGGTCGCTCTAATGATGTTAACTCTTGTTTGGGGTTGATCTCTTTTTGTCTTTGGGCGTTGTGGAAGGCTCGTAATCGGTTTGTGTTTAAAAAGGTTTTATGGAGTCTTTAACAGGCATACTGTAGTGGAACGATATTGGGAATTTGCTGAATTGCGAATGCGGTGTAGGTGATTGTGGCTGGTCCAACTTTAGATCTTTCTTCTGCTTCGATTTGGAGTCCTCCTTTGCCTGGCTATATCAAGTGTAATGTGGATGCTAACTTTTCAGTTGTTTCCTCCATGGGTGGTGGCGAAGCAGTGTTTTGAAACTCGAATGGCTCAATACTTTATAGTATAGTGTTTCAATCTTTTTTGGTTACTTTGGCTTTGATGGCAGAAGCTGTATGTCTTCGTTGTGCTATTTTTTGCGCTCAATTGTTTCAACTGACACACATATGCTTTGAATCTGATGCTAAAGTGCTTGTAGCTGCTGTGAAGGGTGAGAGTGTTGCTGCGATGGAAGTTGGGTCATTGGTTTTTGATATTGTGGCAGCATTGAAGTTTTTTCCGACGGCTACAGTGACTCATATTCAGCGCACTGCAAATTGTGTTGCTCATGCTCTTGCAGCTTTGTCACTTGGGCATTTAAATTCTGATTGTATTCTTTCTTCTATCCCTTCTGACATTCATGAGATGGCTTTGAGGGATTTGTCTTTGTGCTCCATATAATAGTTTTATTCCGTTTTGTTTTGTTGTCTTTGCTAGGGGGGGGAAAAAAAAAAACAAAGTGGACATGGACTTAGATATTAGGGTGCATTTGTTTTTTTGCATAGAAATTGAGATCCTAATCTTTTAAAATTATAAGTAAATTAAATGACATTAGGGTGTGTTTAGTGAAGATTTGGAATTGGAATTGGAATTGAAATTGGGAGTTACAATTCACTGTTTAGATATTATAAACTAGCATGAATTTAGGAATGTATTATAATGCCAAACATCCCAAATCAGCAAATTGCATCCACGATTTAATATCGGATTCCAAATACGCGATCAATCGATACAAAATCTCTCTCTATGATCTAACAACACAATTGACTGATACAAAACATCTCTCTCCATATTCGATCAATACAATTGATTTCTCAATGGCTCACTCAACATAACTCTTCCATGTCAATTGGTGTTCGGATTTTAGATCCTTCGATCTCAGTGGGGGGCTTTGGATTAAACCATGGTTTGGTTGGTTATGTCATGTTTGTATTAAACTTGGGTTACTAATGTGTTAATGTTAACACTAACTAATATATGTCAAGATTGATTTAAGCTCGAGTTGCTCAAATCTTTCGTTTAGTCCAATTAGAGGTTGAGTTAAAAGATTTCAACTAAAACCTAACTCGAAATCTTAATCCATAGCTGAGTTGAATACATATCCCGTTCTCCAACTTGCATCCCTACTCCAAAATAATTATTATAATAAAAATAAAATTTAAAATGTGTTCAAAGCACGTGAAGTTTTCATTGTGATGTTGATACTGACTGTAATAACCCAGTCATTTTCCTTCCTTTCCTTTTTCTCCATTTTTTCGGATTAATTTTTTTTGTAGATATTTTCTTTCTCGTAACCTCACTCTTCATGTTCGGATTTGATTTTTGACTCCTCGTGCTTTCATTCTTGTTAGTTTCCTTGATATGCGTAGCTTTACTTTTGGGAAAAAGCTTGCCGGTTGTTTCTTTTTCCCGTAGGGGCGTGGATAAAAAGATTCTTCAGAAACATTTTTATTTCTTAGGGTATTTTTCATAAATATATTTTCAAGATATTTTGATTTGGGGGTTTTAAAAAAAATATGGAAGATATTTTCATTTGGGTCACTTGCGCAGTTATCCTTTTGTGTAGGTACCTTTGTGTAATTAATGAAAGTTAATTGCAAAGTGTCTCCTTGGGGCTTGGATCCTCGTACGGGATTCATTTTCACATTTCATCAAGTCGTGTACTCTTAGAATTGTCCTACGATTGACCTCCCCAATTTTTGGGTTTTTGACCCCGATTACTGCCGAACTTGTTCGGGGCATATCTCTCTGCTTGGGACTCAGTTTTCGACGCCATTTCCTTCATTATTCATTTTTTTTTTTTTTTTTTTACGCATTTTTTGTTCACAGTGTTTTGTCATTTGAGCGCGTTTGCACAAATTTCACTTTTCCGGGCTGAGCGAGACCTGTTTGGGGTACTTTTTGAGTTTTTCTATAAATAGGGGGTGAATGAGACATTTCATTTCATTTTCTCCCTCTCTTGGCCGGCAACCATGGCAGCCCAAAGGCCTGCCACCCTTCGTCCTCCCTTTTGGCCTTTTTCCTCTTGGATTTTTCTGTCGATGTCTAAGCCTTTTAATGTCGGCCTTAATGAGGCCTTCGATTCCAACCGATTGAAATCTCATTTTAGCCATTTTTTGAGTTTGGGTTTGAAGCCAAGTATGGATTTAGGTGTTGCCTCTTGAGGGTTTATTAATTCCCTTGTTGTCCCAAACAAAACCCCGAAATAGCATCGCATTCGAAGAGGTTTTATTTTGGTGGTATTTAAGATTTCATCTCAAATTGAGGTAGGGGTTGTTGTATATTTATTTCCTAAGTGTTTAGGTGTTTTTAGAGCTTAATATATATTATTTACATGCTTACTAAACCATAGTCTTGTATATAGATTGTAAATCATTGAAATGACTTAGGTT